GTGTGTGTGTGTGTGTATGTGTGTGTGTACGTACACGTACGTATGTGCGCGGCCGCGCGGTGGGACGCGGCCCAAGGAATGGAGCACCCCTCCCGCCCCACCGACCGGCCACTGATCTCTATCACGTTCTGGTCCAGGGCTGCAGCACCGGCCCAGTGCAGCTGAGGTGCGCCCCTTGCGTAAGTAGCCCTGACAAAACACTATACCAGCGGCTTACATGCGTACCAGTGCAAAGTAAGTAGTAGCCTTGTCCGTATAAGATCCGCAACAATATCCCCATGGTATAAAAGCCTGCTCGCAACGCGGGGCGCCCGCCCGCCCAGGGACCCCCTTAACTTTGTCGTCCGAGGCCGTCGTCAGGCAGGTCTGTTGCCGCCGGGCACCTGTCCGTCCGCAGCAGGACTTGCAGGGCACCGCAGCATATCGGACATATACATTATTTTATTAGCCGGGGCGTCAATAAATCCTAATTTACACGCAACATGGCGGAATGGCACGGCGGCCCGTCCCGCTACTACCAGCCGTCCTGTCTCCGACTCCTAATGCCCGCCAGGTCTGGAGGAGAACAAAACCTGAATTTACGACAAAGATTACGTGCGCCGTAAATATCCAGATTACGCGCACAGTCCGCCGCACCCCTTCCCTGCTTTTTTTTTGCGGCCGTGCGGCGGCTGGTTCCGCTGGTCCCTCGTGGGCCGTGTTTAACCAAATCCTAATTTACAGTCCAGTTTACGATGATCCCACTCGGGGCATAAACACGAAGCGGGCGGGCTGCTCGGCCCCTTCGCACCGCCCAGCGTAAATGTCACTGCGACTCGTTTGTTGCACTTCGAGCTGCTCCAGAGGGAGCCCCGCTCCGCCCCGCCCCTCCTGTGTCGGCTTATGCGTATCAAACATCACTACCGCTTCTTCGCTTCTTGTTTTCTCCCTTAGCCGACGCAGAGATGGTTATTGTCCCGTAGTATTTTTCATGCGTGAGTAGGACGGTCGGGACGGGCTGTGGGAATGACTCACTGGGTACTACTCGGCGGAGGCGAGGCGGCCAGAAGCCCCCCCCCCCCCTCTTTCCTCCGGGCCGGGCTGCTCCTCCTCCGTAGCCCCTCCCCGCCTGGACTACCGAACAGTAGGGCAATTAAGATAGGAATTCGAAGGTAGGCAGGCAAGGGCTCGGCAGCAGCGCAGCTCGTGAGGGGGCGCCCGGCGGTGGGCGGGGCGCGCGGGGCGGGGTAGAGGGCGGGACGGACGGTAGCCCGAGCACAGCCTCCCCTGCGGCCGGAGCCGAGGCCGGAGCCTCCCCGCAGAGTCGGGGCGGACTCACCATGGGAACCTCGGGATGAGCTATGTGCGGTGAGCTCCGGGGGTTATTGAATGTCGGCGAGCACCCTGTTCACGCCTTTGCACCCGACAGGGAAGGCAAGCCCTGTAAGGCCTAGAGCCCCGCAAAGAGCGAGCTACGCGAGCTAAATGCCTACCCCGACCCCCCTCTCACCCGTCGAAGAAGGGGTCTAGCTCGCGTAGCTCGCTCTTTGCGGGGCTCTAGTAAGGCCCCTGTGCTGCGCCCCGAGTCCAGACTCTGCTGCGCGCATGTCGGCCCCCTTGCAGCTCCTTTCCCCTCATCACATGCACGCCCCTC